ATACATGCAACAGCAAAACTGCTGCGTGGCTCTACCACCGAAAAACTGCTCAAAGGCTCAGAGTAGGTGGCCGTGGTGGCAGCTAGGGCGGCAACTGGCTAGGGCTGCCTCCATCAAAGGGGGGACGGCGGTACCCCAGCAGCGGCCACTCAGCTAACGGAGGTGAGAAGGGTCTAGCTGACTGTTGAGTGGCCGTGAAGTTCCTCTCCACACGCTGAAGGGGGGCGACGACACCCCCCCCCCTGGGGGAACAACCCCCGACTGGTTCGGGGAGGGAGCCCTTTCAAACCTAGGGGCACGGTGGCCGGCAGGCGAGCGCCGAGCATAGCCCGACAGGGGGCGTGGCTGAGCGCCCCCGCCCGTGGGAGTCGAGGGCGCGGCAGAGCCCGGAGAGGAAGCGCCGTTCGCACCCAGGCACAAAACGGCATGGTGCTTGCCTTGGCAATGCGGACAGGGCCGCTGGTGCGGGCAGTCTCGCTGGAGGTGCCCTTCCAAACAAGAGTAGCACCAGCGGCGCTCCTTGGCGATAGTTCGCCTAGTCGGAACCGACTTACCTAATAACATCGGGTACGACGTCACCCGGTGATCGGAGGCTCGGCAATAGGAACAGGGGGGTGCCTCCCTGGCTACTAGGCCACTGTAAGATGGTAGGGAGCGGCGCCCTCCCACGGAAGCTCCGATCGGCTTTAGGGGGATTGACGACGACTTGCCCGGCGGAGCCGTGCCCAGTGAGAGGCGGGAGCCTTTCACTGGGCACGGCTTGTAAGTCGTAAACGGTGCCCGCCGCGTTCTCAATCTGCCGGCACTGCTCCTCCAAAACCGCAGCATATCACTAAAGGGCGGAATATAGGAGGCGCCGTCCCCGCCATACCTCTCCTAAAATGTATCCTAAGGTCGAGAGGCAGGCGGGACAGCACAATGTGGAGCAACAAGAAGGACCATTCATCTACTGGCAAATCCAGCCGCCTCAACGCATTACAGGCCACCAAGACTGGATTCAAGAGGTCCGGACGTAGCCTGGTCCGGTCCCTACGCAGTGGGAGGCTTAGAAGCTGCCTGACGTATTCGTCCGCAATTCGCCGGACGTTGGCGTATCTTCCGGCGAGGAGGTCCCAAGCAGTCTGGTAGGCGTCGTCCGACAATCTCAAATGGCCGACGACGCCCAGGGCCTCCCCCTCCAGTGAGGCTAGGAGGTACGCCATCTTCTGGCTTAGTGTCAAATCCCTCCGGGCGTCCACTAGGCTATCAAAAAGCCCTACAAAGGTGATCCAGTCGGAGAGGACCCCGGAGAACCTTGGCAGGTTCAGAGTTGGGAGTCGTCCCAACAGCTCCGGCTGAGTAGGCTGCTTCCGAAGGGACTCGGACAGGCCACTCATCAAAGCTTCACGCGCTTCCTTAGCATACTTGGCCTCCGCCTCGATCAAATCGCCCGTGAGCGAAAATAATTTCTCGTAGTCCGCGAGGCAGGAGTCTAGAACTCCCTGTTCCGCATCCGAGGCCAAAAGCTCTGTGCAAGCCTCCTCCACTACAGCCCTTCGGGCATCGACCTGCTCGAGCCGCTTCTCTAAACTCTGAACCCGATCAGGTCGACCTATCAAAATATGGGCGTTCGCGGCCCAGCGCAGCTCCGCCTGCTAGCTAAGCGCCGGTTGCTTGTGCGACGGCATCACTAATAAATACAATTACGAGTAACTACGCGACTCAAATTCAAATCAATTAACAAATATTCCACAATATTCCACAACTATCAAACAACGCCATCTAGTCCCAAGCTAAGCAGAGCTTGTGTTATGGGTACTAGAGAACTGATAAACATACTTATATATTTTAAATACATAAATATTATAGATAAATTACACCCAGACACAGAACAAATGATCGTGCTCATCACACAAACATTTGTCTTGGGTGTGAATCGAACCCACGACCTCCGGCGTAGCAGTCAGGGTCACTAACCACTAGACCAACAGGCCAGTCACATAACAAATACAATTACGATCAAATCAAGTTAAATACAAATTACACAAATACAAATTACTATTTATTAAATTAAATACAAATTACACCACACGGCAAGTACACTCTACAGTCGGTCAGAAAAGATGCCTTGCTGAAGCGACCGACCGTTCGACAATTAATCTACTATAATTATACGATAACGATAATTATCCGATTACGTGATAACATTATCTACCTACTCAAATACCTTACGCGTAAGTACCTAGCCCTAACAAACTCCCGCTTGCGCGGCTTAACGGGTGTGGTTCCTCGTTCTACTCGCTAACAAACAAAAAATATTTATATTACGTACCCACGTATTTATTACTTACTATTTTTACTAATATTACGGCCGGGCGATTGGAGAACCAATCAACCACGCTTTGCTACCAAAAATGTACACGCCCTTAGCTGTCCCGACTAAGGTCGACTATACAGGGGCCCATACAGCTGTAGACTCGACGGTAACTAAGGATGGGACCCAAATGGCCTTATGGAGAGTTGACCTACACGACAGTAAAGCTAGGTAAATAAATAGTACGTACCTGTTCAGAGGCGAAGAAGGCTCGTTCAAGCGTTAAGTTTAGTGAATGTGGGTAGTGTGTGAGTGTAAGTGTATATATGTGTAACCTGAATTAGCCCTTTTTAATCAGCAGCAACCCTGACTTCAGCATCGCTACCCTATGTGGTATCACTCCAGCGGCGTCACTCGGTTTCACTCTAGTCTAGCATCCATTAGCACAAATCTATAATCTAATACGAACGCTGGTTCTCGCGGGTCACAAAGTTTAGCGGTTTTAACCGACACAGGAAAATATCTCCGAGTTAAATCAAATGGCACAAAGCAACTCGTTGACGCGAATTAATATTGTCAGAATGCACTTATGCATGCAACCACTATACCACTTGACGCTAATTAATTGTAACGACGTTAATTAATCGCTCAAACTCAAAATTCAGCCTCGTTGACACGTAAAACAAACAAAAAAATAACGCAATAATGAGAGGCACTTAAATCGACGGTACAATTGCAACGAAATTACTCTAATCACTCAAATTCAAAATAAGCCTCTTGTCGCGAACGCACAACTTAGACAAAACTAAACCGAGGCGGTCTTCACGAACCACAATTCGGTAGCGACGTAACGAGCACAGATACTGAAAATCTAGACCATAAAACCAAAACTGGTCGCACGAAATCGCTGCCACGGTGTATCGGTGTAATACGGTGTAATCGCACCACTTTTACATATCAAAGTCCACTTCAAACCATTATTTAAACAATAATACGAGCAACAAATCGCCGCCGGTCAAGTTCCCGCCAAAATTCCTGTATATACTTATTGTACTCTTTGACACAGAGTACCTTTGTTGATTCGTGTAGAATCTACTAGTTAGCCTGTGCTTTGTTGACCTTTGTATATACTATATACTATATACAACTTAACTTTATAAGAGTTTTGGCGGGAACTTGACCGGCGGCGGTTTGCTGCTCCTGTATTATTGTTTAAATAATGGTTTGAAGTGGACTTTGATATGTAAAAGTGGTGCGATTTTGTGTATTAAGTGTCTGCGCATGTGAACTATTAGTAGAAGCTGTGAATCAAGTGCTCTGATGGTGATGTGATTCTCAAATTAAGGTGTCTGTCTGCTTACGCGCCTTAAGATACCTTCGCCAACCATCAGCTGTCTGCTGGCTCAAGTTGCCGTCATAATCTCCCAAGGGCTGCACAATGTGACGCATCAACATATTGTGAAGCGGTATACTATGAAGGATAATTATAATATATTGAAACTTCAGGCTCAGAAGGGCTAGATTCCAGAGCCTTAAAGCCAGTTATTAAAAAAACTTTATAATTTGTGCCTTTTTTATCCGAAAGTCCAATATTTTCACCAAAGGCTGGCTTTTCACTATGTGATGTAATATATTATGTTATATCCCAAAATATAAATTATATCCTGCGATTGGCTTTCACACAGTGAGATATATCTTTTAACTAGTGTGCGTTCGTCATTGATCATAGGATTACCCCCCTTTACCCAGTACACCGTTCTGCGGGGGCGCGGTACAGTGTGCGGGGTACAGGGGGCGAAATATAATATGAAAATATAGCTCGGTCGATCGAAATAATATTTATAGCTTGAGATGTAATATATATTATAGCTCAGTGTAAACGGTTCCATATGAAATGTATGGTGAGTGATATTATTTTATATCTCAAGATGTAATATATATTATATTATATCCCATAGTGAAAAGCGGGCTATAGAGTATAATAACTGTCCTACACAGGAATTATTTTCACAGAGTACTTTTTATATACTGAAAAATATTTTCTCCAATTTTCTCTATGAAGATCACTGAACGTGAAGTAAAGCAGGAGTTTTGGCGGGAACTTGACCGGCGACGGATTGCTGCTCCTGTATTATTATTTAAATAATGGTTTGAAGTGGATTTTAATATGGAAAAGTGGTGCGATTTTGTGTATTAAATGTCTGCGCATGTGAACTATTAATGGAAACGATGAAACAAGTGCTCTGATGGTGATGTGATTCTCAAGATATGGTGTCTGTCTGCTTAGGCGCCTTGAGATATCATCGCCAACTTTCAGCTGTCTGCTGGCTCAAGTTGCTATCAAAATCTCGCAAGGGCTGCACAATGTGACGCATCAACATATTGTGAAGCACTATACTATGAAGGATAATAATTATACATTGTAACTTCAGGCTCAGAAGGGCTAGAACCCAGAGCCGTAAAGCCAGTTATTAAAAAAAGTGAAGTAAAGCAAAGCAATAAGCAAAGCTACATAGCTACTAGCTTGCTACATATATATTTATCTATGATAGCTACATATTTATTTATCCTATTTATCTATGAAGCAAAGCCTCTAATTTAGCTACAGTGTTTCTAGGTATATAGTTTGTGCTCATATCATATAATCTCACAAACTAATTAGAAGTTTATTTAGATCCAGGAACCGGTATCATTAAAGTTGGCTGATATGGAAAGTAAAGAACCTACACCTGAAGCTTTACAAAGAAAATTATACTTTTTGCTCGAACAGTTACAAGACATGGCTAGAGAACTCCCGCCGTAAAGTATTATTTAGTTTAACTACTAATTAGATGACATGCATTGAGGAATAATATACTTACACACGTAGTAAATATCTCTACGGTGGAAGGACAGCAATTAATGGTAAATACTAAAATATTATTTCAGAAAATATCAAATGAGAGTTCCTATAGAACTGCTTTCGGGATTGGCGAATTGTTTGTTAAATGATACCGTATTTGAAATTGTTAAAGGATTAATGGAAATTCAGCATGTTACTGAAAAACATCTATTTCAGCAAAGACTTCAAATTATCAACAAACATACCAGTGAGTTGATTTTGCTGTTATATTTCTATTTATACTCTTCTCAAAACCTTATGATAAAATGTAAATGAAGGTGTTAGTTCAAGTTCTCCCATCTACACAACCTTTAGGAGAGCATGTATGATGTTATTTTAAAATACTAGGTATACTGTTGCATACAACAGAGCTCTTTTATTGTGAAAAATTCTCATGAACCAATTCACATGCCACTGTAAAAGAAACTTGTGTCAACCAAAAACTGTAAAAGTTGTATTAAGAAAGTTGATTATGCAAGAATATATATTTGCAATGTGTTGGATATACTAACATGGTTATCAAATATGAAGTAACTAAAGAAGTGTAGAAATAGATGATGAAGGTGATGAAGAAATTAAAGATATTCTGACATGTGTAATCTGCCAACGTGTTTGAAGGTAAAATGGCACATTCTCTCTTTTCCAATCTCCTCACAGTATAAGGAATAGCCAAATCTATAGTTTAACTATTGGGGTTGGCTATAGATGTCAGATACTTAATATTTTTTTTAAATACTAGTAATGCTATTAAATATTACTAATATTCCCTTTAACCACTTCTGGTAAGCTTAAAATGCTTGTGTTAGAAGTTGTTCACGACAGTAGTCGAATGGCGGATTCGAACCCACGACCCTTCGAGTTCGCGGTTCACGCCCTGCCATTAGGCTACTGACACTTTTCATTTAATTAATTATGTCTTAAATTTAGGAGGCTTGTCAGGGTTAGGCTTGAACGTTTTGCACTGTTTTTGGATGTCGGTACTTGATTTTAATTATGTTTTCAGTTTAGGATGTTTGTCTGGGTTAAGCTTGAACCTTTTACACTATTTTTGGATTACAGAAATGTGTTTTGAATTAATTACGACAAAAAATAAATTTCACATAAAATTGCTTATAACGAAAGGCCAATATGTCAATTAGTTTTTTTTAACATGGGTACACCCATAAGAATTTAATCACTCTGAGTCGTACCCAGACTATTCATTTGTAGCTAAAGATGGGACTCATACACAATGAGTTGAGTCGCAGTGGAGAGCACTCAAATTTTTTTCAAGAAAACAAAATTATAACAATTCACATTACATCAAATAGGTAAAATCTTTACAAAAACCAAATCAGCATGCCCCAATTCCACATAGTCTTGTTTGCCCTACCTCTAGAGTATTTTTGTAAAGCCATAGGGGCGGAGGGAGAGCAGCCCCCAACAGCCAAAGCAAATTATAGGCACCTGTGTAAGAGCCAAAGCGGTTGAGGCTGATTATCTTGCTGAAACAAAACAATCTTTGTGTGTTTGCTTACTGTTTACCTTATATTTTATTATGTGTTAGTAATTTATATTATTTCATGTATTACTTAGTTATTTATATCTTTTTTTTTTGCATTTATTATTTGTATATTTATATTGCACCACCTACCACCTACCTATTCATTGTTTGTATTACTTTACACCTTTGGTTGCCTGGAAGAGATCGCTATGTAGCGATAAGGCCGTCAAATTGTACATATTATAATCAGATTTTTGTTATGACATTTGTATATTTGTTCGTGGTGTACAATAAAAGTATATTCATTCATTCATACTGTTTTTTATGAATGTTATTGTGATTTCTTTATTTGTTTTGTATACAAAGTTCCTGTAACAATAGCTCCATGAAATAATCAATCAATACACATAATCATTATTACAGCCCTTTGCAAATCCACTGCTGATCATAGGCCCCTCCTAAGGAATGCAACAAAGGATGGTTCTGAGCTACCTGCATCCATCGACTTCCTGCATGTCTTACCAGGACATCACTCTAGTGGGGGCCGCCATACACCTCGTCTACCAGTACGAGGCTGCTACTAGAGAACCTATCTTCCCCATCAGTTGTTGGTTCTTTGAGCTATATGGCCGGCCCATTGCTACCTCAGCTTACTAATCAGTTGGGCTATGTCGGTTACTTTAGTTCTAATGCGAATAGAATCATCAGCACTGTAGGTTACCCTGCAGCATTACGCTCATTCATAACCACTTCACTGGCTCGACACACACCCCATCAGTTGTAATCTTAAATTGCCCTATGTTCAGCTGTCTTTTCTGCCGACTTCAAAAAGGAGACAATACTCAATTCAACTGTATTTTTTTTTTATGTGTGTTACCTCATAACTTTTTACTGGGTGAACCGATTTCGATGATTCTTTTTTTATTTGAAAGCTGGTACTTCACATGTGGTCCCATATGAATTTGATCAAGGTCAGACTAGTAGTTTTTGAGTTATTCTTAATCATTTATATTGAAGTTGGCTGTACAAAATTTTAAATTATTATTTATGTGATGTATCAGTGAATAAATCTCTTTTCTTTACTAATTGAGCTAGAGCCCGTGGACTCTAACACATGTTGCAAACATACAAGTCTTGGTGTCTGTTTTAGTATGTAGTATTTATTACTTCAATTCCATGACATGACAACCTGCTGAAATAACTTACGACTTTTTTAATTTCTTCGGGTACTGCTGTTGTAGAAATATCTTTGAAATGTATGCAAGAAATAAAGATGTACTGTGAAATACAGGACTGTTACGATAGTGATAAACACATCAATTTCTATATTTTATGTGAGCTTAGCTAACTATAAATCTTTATTATGTTTTTACTCTAGAGAAAAGCAACTATTTCACATAATTTTTAAAACTTAAATCTACTAAACTAGGACCTTTTCAATTATACCATATATGAATTGCTTTAAATAGATTGTGTATTCTTGAATTTATGTTTCATAATTATGTTGTTTTTAGTGGAAATTCAAAATATGATTAACAACACCCCAAATCCAGAACAGCAAGAACTGCAAAAAAATAAGTTATTAATGAGGCATAGAGAGGAACTCAAGCAAACAGATATGAAATTGGTACTTCAATTAGATCAAAAGGTAAACAAAAATATAGAATTGGAGAAAAAGTAAAAAGCTGCTACAAGCAGCTTCCTACATAATCGGTATAATCTACTCTCCTACTTTTTGGTGAGTCCTGAAACACTTTCTTGGATCTAAAGCCAAATTATTGTCTAGTCAATTTAAAGCTCTCGTGATACGAAGTGCCCGGATACTCATTTATTTAACCCTAGATAACTAAACATTCGTCCACGCGACTACGCCCCTCTCCAAGAAAGTCAAGTGCACTTACTTCCCCGCGCCCCGCTCCCGTCCCGCATTGTTTACCTTCCTGATTGGTGCGAATAGTTCATCGGGTGACGAGGTTGCGATCACGCGATAATTAGGAAGTGACCTACGGCTACATCGTCGTCAGGTTGACGAAAGTTTAGTTACTACGTACGTTAATTTGCAAAGGTATGCACAATTATTTTTTTTATATTATTTATTATTTATACAAGACTTACACGAAATATTTCTTTTTAGTTTTATTTAAATTGATATATTTTACTATTTAATTATATATTAAGTTATTTATAGCGAAATTAAAATATAAAAAAATACATTTTATGAGATATTTCTTTGTTGCCACTAAATATTTGATTCTAAGATTTGCACTTTTTATTATTTTTAGATGGATTTGAGAAATCAAGAAGAGCAGATAAGTAAGTGGCTCGAAGAAGTGGAAGATAAAGAGGAGGGTTTGAATGATTCGGCCTCAGAGACGGAGGATAACGTGGAGGAAGAAATACTTATCAACACCTCTGATTCCGAATTCTCAAACGAATCTTCAGAACCTGAGGATGACATCATACGACCAAGAGACAAAGAATTTAAATTGTAGACTCTGATGACTCTTTAGAGGATATTCATGAAACTAATTCTCCTCAAACTTCAAACCAAGGTAACCAGCGTGTTCTTCAAGTAATTCCCCGATTCCTTTATGGGAAAAACAAACATAAATGGTCGTCTGTACCTAGATCAGCTACTACTCGTACTCTGAGACGGAACGTCGTACATTTTATACCAGGTCCAAGAGGAGAAGCTAGGGAATTACAGGAACCAATAGATTTATTTCGGCTTTTCATGACTGTTTATATGCTGCAACAAGTTGTGACATTTACCAATGCAGAGATTATTACTCAAAGGAATAGATATAAACAGGAGTCTTATACCGTTTCACAGACTAATTTGTTAGAAATTAAAGCTCTGCTTGGTTTGTTACTGACCGCCGCAGCTATGAAGAGCAACCATTTGCCTACTCGCATCCTATTCAATCCTCAACGATCAGGCACAATTTTTAAAGCTTGTATGAGTGCAGAAAGATTCAATTTTCTCATTAAATGTATGCGATTTGACGAAAAACAAACAAGAAATGACAGAAGAAAAGAGGACAAATTCACACACATACGTGAACTGTGGCAAAATATGATTCACAATTCTCAAAAATGCCAGGATCATATATTACTGTAGATGAATAACTGGTTGGCTTTCGTGGAAGATGCCCATTTAGAATATATATCTCTAATAAACCAAATAAATATGGAATAAAGCTTGTTATGGCCGCAGATGTTAACAGTAAATACGTCATAAATGCAATTCCGCACCTGGGAAAAGGAACCGATACCCAAAAACAGCCATTGGCTACATTCTTCATAAAAAACATAACAATTCCTTTACATGGCACCAATCGTAACATAACGATGGGCAATTGGTTCACGTCTGTAACTTTGGCCGATGACCTATTACAGCCACCTTATAATTTGACTTTAGTAGGAACTTTGAGGAGTAACAAACGGGAAATTCCTGAAAAACTTAAGAATTCTAGGACTCGCACAATTGGTACTTCGATGTTTTGTTACGATGGCGACAAGACATTAGTTTCATATAAAGCCAAGTCAAACAAAGTGGTTTTTGTGTTGTCCACAATTCATGATCAACCAAATATTGAAGACGCGACAGGAAAATCGGAAATAATCCACTTTCATAACACTACTAAGGGTGCCGTAGACATGGTTGATCAAATGTGCTCGAAAATGTGTGTCAACCGAAAAACTAACAGATGGCCATTATGCATTTTTTATAATATGTTAAATCTAGTTAGTATCAATGCCTATGCTATTTACGTCTCGAACGACTTGAGAAATAAGAAGAAGCCGACACTACGACGCGATTTTGTCATGAAGATGGGAGACCAACTTATGGACCCTTGGCTAAGGGAGCGATTACAAACGGTGACTTTGAGGCGTGACATCAAGGTTATGATAAAAGATATTCTTGGTGAGTCATCAGAACCTGAACTGCCTGTTCATTCTGTGACCAATGTGCGTAAAATATGTTACCTATGTCCATCAAAGGCTCGTAGGATGACAAAACATTGATGCATTAAATGCAAAAATGCCATTTGTGGATCGCACAATATTGACGTGTGTAGTAGCTGCGCAGAATAATTATTTATTGTTAAATGTCTTTCACATCAGTTGCTATTAAACCAAACTTAAGTGCCATGTAAACAGTTCCTATTTTAATAAATACTTTTGATAATTTTCATGTTTTTTATTGTGTAGTCTGCCTATAATGCCTGTAATGTTTTGTCATCCTACGAGCCTTTGATGGACATAGGTAACATATTTAACGCACATTGGTCACAGAATGAACAGGGAGTTCAGGTTCTGATGACTCACCAAGAATATCTTTTATCATAACCTTGATGTCACGCCTCAAAGTCACCGTTTGTAATCGCTCCCTTAGCCAAGGGTCCATAAGTTGGTCTCCCATCTTCTTTCGTCATCGTTCTTCCCAGGACAGAGGTTTTTTCCGAACCAGTGGTAATCAAACAAAAGAGTTACTTTCAATAAGTATTATTTATAATCTATATTGAATAAAAAAGTTTCTGTTTGTTTCTATAGTGAGTAGGTATCTTTTAAACTCACAATTTTCAATGCTTCATTTTTAATATATAATTAATTATAAAATTTCATAATTAGATAATATATGAAAATACATAATTCTAATATAATGCAACTAATATACCGAATAAAAAAATTAAAATACATTTATCGTTGTACGATGTGTGTATTTCCATAAAATAGTTTATCGATGTTGAAAAAATACTACGTTCGTACAGAGTAGGTGGCGTCTTACATATTTCTTAAACGATATATTGTAGCGAGTCGGCGCGGCACACCAAATGCTCAAGGTCGTTCGCATGGAGTAGCCCCTTAATACAAAGAAGCTCGGCCAAGCTTTAAAGATGAAGTTGAGATAGATCGGCCGCCAACAGAGAAAGTCTATTAATTACATATAATTTGAGCGAGAATTTTGAATTAGTAGCAAGCAACTTTCTTTTTGTAAACGTTGTTCATGTGTTCAGTGTGGCGCCTACCTTGATTTTGGCTCGCAATTCGAACCCGGGATCACATGATGAGCACGTCGCGATTACGACCACTAAACCAGTCAACCAGCATAACGAAAAGTGATTTTGTGCGTCTTGCTTGAATGAATTTTGTTAATGTTTTCGATACGTTAAGAAAAGAGATTTATTCACTGGTACTATACACATCACATAAATAATAAATTAAAATTAAAAATTTTGTACAGCCAACTCCAATATAAATAATTAAGAATAACTCAAAAACTATTGGCCAGACATGTAAAAAAAACAGTCTAATTGAGTACCTTCTCCATTTTGAAGTCGGTAGAAAAATTAAAAAAGTGGAAATAATCTAGTAATATACAACATTTAAAGTTTAGAGGCGTGACAATATGTATTATATACAAAATACCTACATAATTTAAAAAGTAAAATATGTATAATAAAAATTATTTCAATGAAATTTCTCTGAATAGAACCTCTTAATCATTATTTTTAAAAACTTAAAAAAGCTTTTCTTTATTATATTTTTTAATATTATATATATTGCATTATTATATAAATAAAAGTTATTAGCCATTGAGTTGTATGTACTACGTACTAGAGAAGCCATTCCAAACAAAAATTGTGTCCTACTCTATGTATTCGCGCATGCGCGGGAGTAGTAGTCGCGCATGCGCGAAGACTTTAATTTGATATAAAATAAGATCTTAATATAAAATTAATATAAGGATTTAATATAAAATATCTTAATTTAATCTAAACAAACATATTTGTAAATAAAATGTTATAATAATTATTTTATGGAATTCACAATTCTTCAATTTCCGCAAAATTTAGTTTGTATGGATTGCACTATAGTTCAGTTGAACATAGTCAATGTTCGGAATGGCTTCTCTAGTACGTAGTACATATAACTCAATGTTATTAACCCTAAATTGTAATTATTTTATTAATATTACAACATTCAAGTCTCTACCAAATTAAGGATTAATTTTGCATGTATTTTTTGGAGTGTAATTTTTAAAGAACATCCTTTTTTACCTATCGATTTACTAGTTGTCATTTTTGATTAAAAACAGGCAGAGAGAATCTCATTTGAAACATTAGTGTTATACAAGGGAAGGGATCTTACCTACCTGAGCTGTACATAGTTCTAGTTACTTCCCTATCTTCTGTCTCGCTTGCACTTATATGTAAGTGCAAGTGCAAGAATTAATTCTATGCGTCATAGCAACTAAAGCTGAGAAGCATTGTATGTATTGTAATTTTGAATGTATTTTGTTTAATACCAAAATTGGATAAAAAAATTAACTACTTTTTACTTTTCTATGGATATTAGATCTGAAATCGGCCAAATCAGCGTGAAAATAAATTATTTTTTTTTACATTAATCGAACGGATGAATCATTTAAAAAAAATATCTAATTGAGTTATTTTCACAAAATCTACCCTTTGCGAGAAAAAAAAATATTAATATATAATAATTAGGCTGTACAAAACAGAAAAAAAATTTAAATCGGTCTTCATTTGCAGCTGCAGCATTAAAAATATTGAGGCAAAGGATGATTTTCTGGAATATTTATAAATCAGCCTTTATCTTTTAAACCACGCAACTTGTCCTTCC